ATATATATATATATATATATATATATATGTGTGTGTGTGTGTGTAAAAAAAAAATTCAAATAAAGTATTTCTGCAAATGTTCAATATGAATAAAGAACAAAAGAAAATTTATCTTAGCCGACCGTCTCTTCCTATGAGGGACTTTATCAAAGCAAATGTCAGGATTTTATTTTGTGACAAGTATTTATATACAAGAGCAGAAAGGTTTTTCAGAAGATATTTCTCCATTAATCTGATGAATATTCATGAGCACGCCAATACCTCCAAATTTGGAAAAACCAATAAAATTTCTGCTCTTATATATAAATAGTTGTTGCAATATTTCAGTCAGTTATGTGTCATGTGATACACGCTTAGGCGATCATATATCTTTCGATACATGATTGATGAGGCAGAATTTTTGTTCCCGCGGGACAGATTAGATTCTATAATCTTGGATTGCGGCTGGTCTACCGCAGAAAGAAATGGCAACATACTACGGGAAAAATCCGCCTCGTCAGTCATGCATTAAACTTTACATGATCGCCTAAGCATGTATCACGCATAGCACATAACTGACTGTTACAATATAAGATCCTTATATTTGCCTTGATAAAGTCCTTCAGAGGACCAAACGCGACATCTAATATGTTTTCCTTTTGTCTTTAATCATATATATATATATATATATATATATATATATATATATATATATATATATATATATATATATATATATATAGGATGCGAATTGTTATATGTATGTATCGTGTATAGGTACAAATAAGTTTACGAATTTTTTTCATTTCACGCATGAACACGCGTTGTTTATTTTATTTTGTCGTCTGCACAGTCATTAATAGGTCCAGTTGGACACCGTCTGTGAGAAAAAGGTCAGCATGCGGCATTTTTATATATATATATATATATATATATTCACTATATAACAGGAAATTTTGCCATTCTATTTTTTTTAAAAACTGCACAGTATAATAGGTCCAGTTGGACATTCGCATGACACAATTCACTAGCCCAGAAATTTGAAAACGGTATGCTGTACTGCTTGGCATTCGCGCGGAAGCTCCAATACAAACACTTCGAAAAGTGTTTGAGTGTCAATCTGCAGAGAGTCAGGAGGATTCGGAAAGAGTCGAATGCTTCTAATAGTGATTATAAAGATACGGTTGTTCTGGAAACTCACTTTGGTCGTTCTAAACTTCCGAATTTATTGGTAAGCGCATTAGACTCAACATGGAGGCATACATAAAGTGCTTAGAGGAGGTAATGTTGCCCTGGGTCAAGAGGTTGGCTGCTGGAACCCCCGACGTCTGGCAACAGTACACTGCGGCATGTCACACGAGCAGGATATCTAGTCACGTCTCAGACAATTTCTGTGACTACATCAGCCCTTGCATTAAGTCACCTAACTCATCAAACTGCAAACCTCTTGATTATTCTGGCTGGGGTGTAGTTAGACAAGAGACCGACAAAATCTCCTTATAACACCAAAGATGAACCGAATGCAAGGATTATGGCAGCTGTAATACCACTAGGAAGAAGGACGTTACAGGGAATGAAAGAGAACAAGAAGAGTTTACTGAAGAGAGAGGAGGGAAAAGAAACGATTAGAATACAAGAGACGGCTGCATATAGCTAGTTCGACATAAAAAAAAAACTGAGAAATTGTTGCCAATTTAGCAGTTCGCTGAAATTCCTGTAGTCAGTGCACTAACAAATAAAGCTCATGAGAACAATTGCTATGAAAATATTTGAAGAAAAGGCAGGGAGTAGCCACGACACGTCGGTGATAAACTGACGAGATGCTGCATTGAGATCGGTTACATGACAGAGTGAATTCTTTGAAGAATTTCGAGATATACCAAAGAAGCACCGAACCATCAATTGTAGCAGCATTTAACGCACGAAAGAATGGTAGATTTATAAATGCGCAAGTAGATTCCGACGTGAAAATCTTTTAGTCACGACACAGTGAACAAACTTTCTTAGCAGTATATCTAGCAAATGATTCAATATAATCAACCCATTTCATGTCAGCAGGAAACGTGTGCCCAAAGAATGCACAGAGTGTTGCTCTTCTTTGGGTGTTGCTTGTGTCGGTTTGATTGAGGATGTTTGGCGTGTTTTGGGTTGAAAGACTTTGGTTACACCGACTGCAGATATCTGGATCTTACATTCTCTAAGTAGGAGTTTTATGAATGTTGGTCATCCGAAAAAGTGTGTCTGGCGTGTGTTTATTGGTGGAAAGATATTTAATAATATTCTTTCGAAATAGTTTTTTTGTAGTGCAATTTTGCTTTGGAGATTCTAAAATTTATAAGCCATTTCTCACATCGAACTGCCAATGTGATGGAAAAGATGCTCTCTGCTTTGGTCAAATCGACTTGCGTAAAGCAGAAATAATAATAATAATAATAAAAATAATAATAATAAGAAGAAGAAATAATAATAATAATAATAATAATAATAGCAAAGAAGGTAATTACAGTAGCAGGGGGTCGTTGGAGCATTGTGGTTTGGTACAGAAAACATGGAAATATCTTGGAGATATTGGATTATTATTTGAAAATAGAACCATTCCAAAAGATTACCTGCTCGGAATAGCGAGAAAACTTCGGATTGTATTGGATAGAATATGTCTATGAAAAGTAGATCAGTTTATTTTTGTAAACCACGAGAGATGACCTGAATATAAACCATTTTGACAGCAACTAACATCATTTTTAGTGAATAATAATAATAATAATAATATGCACAGATAGATCAATCAAAGCTAATCTCCCTGACATAGTGATCAAAGTCCACAAAGCAGACGGTGATTTCTTATTGATATAGCAGTACCTGTAGACTGTAATGTACCTTTGAAGAGCTTAAAGAAACAATAAGGATCTTGAAGTGCAATTCACAAAAATGTTTAACATGAATATATCAATAATTCCATAATTTTCATTTACTCATTGATGGATTCCTTATAGCCCATGTCTTAAAGGTACACAAAAAATATCTCACGTCTTAACAACGGCTTTATCATTGTAAAATTTGCGCATTCTTAGGTTACTAGTATGTATCTCTGTCTGTCTGTCTGTCTGTCTGTCTCTCTCTCTCTCTCTCTCTATATATATATATATATATATATATATATATATATATATATAGAGAGAGAGAGAGAGAGAGAAGAGAGAGAGACTTTAGTTGTTCAGTGAAAACGTCATTTCTGACTTTAGGTGTCTGTTAAGGACCCAGAAGGAAATACAACAGAAATCAAATCAGATAATAATAATAATAATAATAATAGCAGACAGAACATCCAAAGCTAATAGCGAAGACATCGTTATCAAACACCTCAAAAACAGAATGTGCATTCTTATTGACATAGAAGTCCCTGCAGATGTTAATGTATTTTGAAAATCGTTAAAAACTATAAAAAGTCATGGATCTTGAAGGGGAAATTTCAAAAGTGTGGTACATGTGGACAACAATAATTCCATTTATAGCTGGAGACCTCGGATTGGTTGGAAAAGGTCTTGATACACTCATTGAAAGGAATTCTTAGTAGTGTATGCCTTAAAGAAATAAAAAAAAATTGTACGGTTATCACATTACGAAGGGCTTTATCAATGTAATATAGTTGAACTCTTGTTGTGTTATTTTATATATATTTTTTAATTTATTTATATGAAAATATTCAGTGAAATTGCAATTTCTGATCTTAGTTCTCTTGTTGGGACCCAGAAGAAAATGTGTAGACAACAGGACTTAAAGTGACATGGAAGTCTCTGCAGATTTTAATGTATCTTTGAGGATCTTCAAAAAAGGATTTTATCAATGTAACATTCGTGGACTCTTAGGTTGTGTTGTTTTTTTATATTTTTACAAAAATGTTCAATGAAAATGCAATTTCTGATCTTAGTTCTCTGGTTGGAATCCGGTAGGAAATGTGTAGACAACAGGACTCAAAGTGATATGGAAGTCTTTGCAGATTTTAATGTATCTTTGAAGATCTTCAAAAAAACTATCAAGCTTTAAGGATCTTGAAGTTGAAATCTAAGATATGTAGCACATGACGATAGTAATGAATCCAGATGTTGTTGGAGCTCTCGGGTTGATTGGCAAAGGTCCCGACAGTCTTATTGAAGGGATTCCTGGTAGCCCGTTCCTTAGAGAAATACAAAAATTTTACTCAGAAATACAGCTTACACATTAGGAAGAGCAGTATCTACGTAAAATGTGTTATTTCAGGGTAGTTTTGTTGGATTTTGTTTTTTGGTTTGTTTTTTTTTTACAAAAATGATCAGTAGAAAATGTAATGAAAGTTTTATTACTTGGACCCGGAAGAAATGTGTATACAAAGGAAATCAAAGGAAATAATAATAATAATAATAATAATAATAATAATAATAATAGACGTTTTGAGTGAAAAAATATATATAGATGATGGTGGCCGTATTGCAGGTCACTAGATTCCTTGGAACAGTCTCAACATATCTTAGAAAATACTTAGAGGTCTGATAGTCCAATAAGTAATTGAAATTGCAATGCCAAGAAAAATTCTGGTGAATTGAGGAGACTTGCTCTGAAATGATCACCAGTGAATGCCACCAGTTACTGTTGATGTGAAAACACAGTTCAGGCAAATATCATTTAAGTTTCTTTTCTTTCAATAATTCCTTCTTCGACTACCGAAGCTCACTTTACAAAGAGACTTATCATTCCAATCTTATTATTTTGTTTGTTTTCTTTTCGTTTTCAGTATTCTACTTTTGAAAATCAGATTCCTACGAGAGCGTCCCTTCTCGGCTAAGCCACGTGATAGATGACAGTAAGACGTTCTGCCTTATCACGAACGGAAGGATGAGCGTTCAGCCCAGCAGGGTGGAGAACGCCCTGGCTGTTTTGAAATCTATCACACAAGAGCGCGCATAATACAACAGTGGAAGATGTCCCGGCACCACATGGTTACTTCCGGAGGTATCTTGTGAACGCAACGAAAAAGGAAATCATGTCTAAAAGAGGCTGAAAGAAGAAGAAAAAAATGCATTAGGGAGAGTGAAACTAGATGAGGACCTTACTGGAAGAGAAAACATGTTTGGAAAACACAAAGAGAACTGAAAAAAGAAAGAATATAAAAGTTGAACGAAAAGCTTAAAGATAGAATTGGAAGATATCCATAGAGTAAGAAACACACGGCTAAAAAAGGGTAGAGTTGTTTTTTTTAAATGAGTAGGGAAAATGAAGAAAGTGTTAAGAAAGAGAAAAAAACATGAAAAATGAATAAAAGAGAGGAATAAAAAGAAAATGGGAGTAAGAACAGGAAAGCAAAGAAAAGCAAGAGGAGAAAAGAAATTATTTACTCAGAGAACCAAAATAACTAGTAAAAGAAAGTAAAAATTCAGCTACGCGCCAATTCTTGACATATGATGGAAATATATAAAAGTGCTCTATTTTAAATTCTTTTTCGGGTGAACATCACACTGAATCAACTATAGCAAACTATTAATCACTATGTTTTCATACTGATGTCCATATAAACGCTAATTGATTGGACGTAGTGATTAAATATTGCCAACAAAAGATGCATTTCCACACAGTGTCAACAGATAAAAATATATCTGACAACCATAAAATGAAATTTAAAAAAAAAACATGGCACCTTCAAAGTTCTGTTAAACCTATATTAATTGGAGGCCTGCATACGATTTAATAGAGACATATAAAAGAAGATTAATAAAATCGTTGAAAACCCTTACCGACAAAACATTAAATAATTGCACTGCGTTGCATTGTTTATCTACTCTATATTGTATTAGCAATGTAAAAAAATATATCTTAAAAAAACTGTATATGGTAAATATCAGTTAACATGACTGTTATAAGTAAGATATAAAAAACAACATTAGAAAACCAGAATTGGTTTAACAAGTTTATTACCTTTTGATACAGAGAAGCATAATGTAGACTAGAAACTAGGGAAGATAATTTTTAGCCGTGAATAACTGGTTTCAACAAAAGCTACAATATTTAGCTGCCCCCCTACGTGGGGTCGCATGTGGCACAAGGCCGAGTTTTACGTGGTCACCCAAGCCCGTAGGCCCGGCCAAAAATATAGCCTTCGACTCGCCTAGCAAAAGCTACTGTTGCTACTGCTCCTCCTACTATTCCTCTTGATGCAGGAATATTTTTATGTTTTTGGTCTGACGTCTGAGTTCAAAGTTGTAGGGAAATATCCTTCCTCACAACAAACAGAAAGTTGCTCGTCCTGTGTATGACGATAAATTATATCCAGCAGCAAGACCTGTGATCAGAAGGTTTTGAGGAACGTAGAACCACATTTTAATTGCGGTTGTAGCCCGTGTTAGGGCCCCAGCTATGGGCAACTATAGAACCCCAAAACTGGGGTCAAAACACAATTAAAGTATGTTGAAACTTGACTAATGCATGGAATAATAATGCAACACAAAATGTACTTAGAACAAAATGTATTGAAACAAGAAAGTGTACACAATATTTACATATAGTCTTTTGTATATTCCTGGTAAGAGCGTTCCTGGAGAATGTGTTGACTGAGCAGAGTCTCTAGTGGAATCTCTTGATTCCTCCCTCTCTTCCCGGTACCAACCATATTTATATGGTTGGTACTCCACTATGCAAATTAGGTGGATCCTACCACAATAAAGTATAAAAATAAATCCATTAGAAAAAAATTACCAACAATATATTGTCTGTCTATATTTCTGAGATGAGTTATTATGTACACTATTTACATTATTCGGACTATTGTCCTCATCTTTGTCGCCATATTTATTACAACGTTTCGGCCGCAGTACTCTGCGGCCTGCTTTAGGTGGTTGGAATGTCAAACTGGACCGTTTATTTCGCTCACTGGGGTAGACTGTGTTCTCAAGAACACATCGAACAGTCGATAAAGGCATTAGTTAGATCCAGTGACAGGCCCCAAAGAGTGTGAGTTCAATACCCGGTTAAGGCAGTGGAGAACTTGGAGAGGGGAATTAACAGGAGATAACTGATAACTGACGTCCATTAAGCATGGCATGTGGAACTAGAACAGTCTACCCCAGTGAGCGAAATAAAGGGTTCAGTTCGACATTCCAACCACCTGAAGAAGGCTGGAGCGTACAACGGCCGACACGTTGTAATAAATATGGTGACAAACATGAGAACAATAGTCCGAATAATGTAAATAGTGTACAATATATTCTCATATTAAAAAATATATAAAAAAAAATATTACCAGCAATACAACTTTGGGAAATAATTACTAGGATTACATTAAAAAAATATCACAAAGAAATAAAATGTTAAATATCCCATAAGGAGTAGATATGCCGTTATACAAACGAAACTAAACCAGAGTTCATATGTTCATAAGATTACTATCAAGAAATGATGTCACAGCTGCGAAATCTTACATGCATTAATTTTAACTATTCTTATTTTTTTTTTAATTATTTTTTTTATTTCTTTAAGGCATACACTACTAAGAATTCCTTTCAATGAGTGTATCAAGGCCTTTTCCAACCAATCCGAGGTCTCCAACTATAAATGGAATTATTGTTGTCCACATGTACCAAACTTTTGAAATTTCCCCTTCAAATCCATTGTTTATTTCCAGATTAACTGATATCTGTCCAAATCAGATTTCAAATATAACTAGTAGCAACTCTTGTTAGAAGATGAATAATATTTAACATAGTGGTGCTAATACTTGCAGAAAAAGCGTTTAGTTTCTAAGGAAAATTCATGATGACATGTTTGCTACATAAGGAGATGACGCTCCAGTGGGCAGCAGAAATTAGTAGGGGAAGGAAGAGTCGTAAAAATGATCAAAAATCTGGACGGCTTACGATTGCCACCATCAAGGAGAACAGTGTTTTTACCAAATTGTGATGGATTATAGGCGACTGACTATAAATCAAATAGTGAATGCTTTTAGCATATTCTGTCAGAGAGAGAAGAATATTCTGCGCAAAGAACTTATCATCACAAAGGTTTCTACTCTGTAGATGCTCCATCTTCTGGCAGCTGATCAAAAACTCAAGAGTATGATCACAACACTGGAAAATCAGACATGGATTGAGCCAGATCCAGCTGGTTTACTTGAACGTCTCATAATCCAGGTTGCGTGATGTTCTTCACTTTGAGCCAAATATATACAGACAATCCATACAGTGGAAAAAAAGTCTCCTTATTTGCTGCAAAGAAGCTCAAGTTCGCTTCATCTCCAGGGAAGTTGAAGACAGCAGTTTTAGGGGATGCAAAAGGCATTGTGTTTATTGATTTCAAAAGGGCCACAGCACCAGTCAGGAGTCTTTCATTTTATGTGCCATCTCCTTTCACGACGTAGGCGATCATGACTCTCCCCCTTTCTCTATCCCTTGCAACTCTCAACAAGTTCGTTCCCCTCTGCTTCTTCCTCCAGACCACATTTTTTCATCTACTTTCAAAGGTATGTCACGCGTTTTTTTCCCTCTATTCGACCCGTGAATATCAGATTTTCCAGGCCCTCCTTCCTCATTATATGTTCCAGAAACTTCAGCTGATATTAAGTATAAGCCTCCTCCTTATTCGCTTCCTCTTTACGACCTCATCTTTGTTCACATGCTCGGTATATGATATCCTCGGCATCCTTCTGTAGAACTACATCTCCGTCGCCTAGAGTCTTTTCTTCATCTTTGAGGAAATCGGTCAACATTCGCTGCCATAAAGAAGGACATATGCCACATAACAGCTCACTATTATTTGTTATCAAAGAAATCGTCCTGTCTTGTAGTACTCTGTCCAGCTTTTGGAATGTGTCCTTGGCCATTCCAATACGCCTACGGACCTAAGTGCCGCACTTACCATCCTCTGTCAAGACGTTTTGCTTCTATTTAAACGTTCCAGTGGAGAGTGCTGTATCAATTTTTTTGAGACTGTTATGAAAGGCTATTAATGCCAAGCGCTCAGAAAAACTCAAAGACGGCAACTTGTTTCATCAGGATAAAGCTGCAGCACTTGGTTTCACGACTGCTGTAGATGACGGTGGCTTTGAACTGGTTGATCTCCCACTTTATTCTCTTGATTTTACTCACTATGATTATCATCTGTTGCGCAATATTAAAAAAAAATACTGGGAACCACGATAGCAATAATTATGACGTCATAACTGCTGCTTTTGAACTGTTTGACCTACAGAACGAAAAATGAACTTCATTTGGTCACATTTCATGATAGCTTATTTACCAGGCCTTCTCAGCATTCCTTTCAATAGTTTTTAAAAAACGTAAATGGCAGACGTTCCCCGGAATTATTCAAGATCTGAAAAAGCCCACTCTCACTCCTTGTGCATTCTCTTCGAACTCTCCTACGCAATTCATCGCATACAAATTCAATGGGAGAAAAATCAGATGACCAATTTATATATTTCAAAATTTTGACTCAAGATTATTTTGACATAATTTAAAAGAGTGTTTTGTATTGGTGTCTTGTTGAAAGGTGATATTTTTCTATGTTTTGCGTAAACCAGATTTTATGACATGTCTTTGCCTATTTCCTTTTTTTCAAGATACTCTTGATATGAAGTAGTTTTCCTTCTATTTCTTTTGCTCTTAATAATCATGTGCTTATCTTCTGCAGCAGTGGTCACTTTAGATATTCCAACACTTTTCAGCCAACATTTGATCATGTTTCTATCTGCCTTTGTAACAAATATAACACATCGATATCTAGGAATCTTCGACTTCTTGACAATTTGTCTTTGATTGTAGTTTCCTTTGAATAAAATTCCAATTTGTGCCCTCGATGCTTAACTGCTTTGATTTTGCCATTTTGTGCAGATTACTTCAAAATTAAGAAATAAATTAAAAAAAGAAATATATGAAAATACTGTCATAATGGCGGAAACCTGTTTCTTGCCGCTACATATGTTTTGTTTGCAACATTAGTCAATGCTGAGTTAACGTTTATGACCTGTAATAACGTTTAACATAGCTGAAAAGTTTACTGAGGGGTTAATGGTGAAAAACAAAACATAATGCTTCTCTTAAAAATATTCATAATTTAGCAAAATGTATTGTGGACAGATGAATCCAAATTTGAATTTTTTGGTAGTAAGTGGTGACTTAAGAAAGACTGAAAAATAAAAGCAAATACAACGTAGGTACTGAAATTTTATATTTTACATAAAGATATGCAAAAAATTCATATTTTAAAGTCATTTTTTTAAAAAATGCAGCGTTCTTTCAAACATTTTACTGTAGTGTAAATCAGTCAGTTATATGCCATGCAAGGCAGATTTTTTTCCCGAAGTATGTTGCCATTACTTTCTGAGGTAGACCAGTTGCCACCCAAGGCTATAGAACCAGGCCCATCCTGCTATTTACCCAATGTATTCATACCTTTTCCAAGGTTATTAGCACGTAAGTGAAAGTGAAAGTAATAGATTTGAGTGGAATTCGAATTCGGTTCTCACATACCTCAATCCGAGCCGCTATCCATTACGCCACCGTATAGATCATTATAATGATGAGAAATACATGTACATTTTAAATCTTTATTGATCAGATGAATTGGAGCGTTTATTTTGCTAACTGTCCTGAATTTGAAGTGAACGGTGGTTCACACGCTGTTGTGATGGAATAGACTTTAGCATCTCCTGACTTAAATATGCTTACGATTAAAAGGCATTTTAATAGGTGAGCGCATAGATTAAGAAAGTAAATAAATTAGTTGGTTGACGTATTTAGATGGGAACAGCCTCTAAATTATGTAATCGTTTTTTTTTTTCAAGTTTATAGCCGAGAAAACCATAATAATCTACTTGTTCGGGTTTCTTTTATTATTATGATGAGTAGTGGTAGTAGTTATAATAATAATAATAATAATAATAATAATAATAATAAGAAGAAGAAGAAGAAGAAGCAATAATAATATGCATGTGTGTAGTTTCCGAGAAGAGACGGAGAAAGGTGCAAGAGATTTGAGGAAGCATTTTGTCATTCAATCTCAGGTTATAACTATTAGATATCTGCTGAAAACATGTAAATGCATGACGTATAAATGATTATGAATCTTGACCGGCCCAACTACTTTGTCACCAAGTCTCTCCAAACACTTTACGATGTCCTGCCGTAAAGACGACCATCATGTGGATCAGTGATACCATATTGGACTGTCGCTATAAAAAGCTCCAATTTCCTGTCAAGAAGTCTGACATATGAGACGAATCCACGCGAAGAAACGAAACTACCAGTTACCGTCTCTCCTTTTCTGTTCTCGTCTGTCTGTTCAGACGAGACCTGGTGAGCCCTCCTCTGTTTCGCCTTGCCTGCCATTGTATGCTGTGATTTGCAGAGCAAAAGGAAAAGAAAGAGAGAACGGGGGAATGAGAGAGAATCTGTATGTGTAGGAGTTTGAGCGCAGTATTTTGTCGTGCGGATAATGCAGACTATTCTATTTTTCTTTGCTTTTCGGCACCGCATCACCTTCCCACTACCAGTGCACCGCCATCAGCTTGTTCGTCTTGAGTTTGTAGCGATTCAATGCACACTTCAACTATATGTCCGTCGCTCATCAAGGGTTTAAAAGTCTGTCAATTACGGGATGGTAGGCTTTGGTCTGAAAAAAGATAAAAGAAGAAAGCAAATCAAGAAAATATCGGAAGAAGAGGAAGGAACCTGAGGACAGAAAGGAAGAAAAAAAACAAATGTGATGGAAAGAGAAGAAGAAATTCTCGATTGAATGAGGAGAACAAATTCACGGTGTCCATTAAGGAAGTAGGCGTAAGTGGATGTGAAATATGAAAGAAAAAGAAATTTACAACTAAGAAGGAGATTAGAAAGAATGAAAACGGAAAATAGGAGAGAAAGCGTAAGAAATCAAGAGAGAAATAGCAGAAAAAAAAGGACAATGAAAAGAGAAAAAAATGAGAGATAGGAGGAAAGAAATGGAAGGAGGTTCATAATAAAATACTAGAAAATTGTCATTGAGGTCAAAACAAATAAGAAAGGAAGCATGGAAAATAAATTAAGAAAAAATGGAAATAAAAAGATAAAATAGAAAGAAGATACAACGAATGGGGTTACGAACGAAATATGGAAGTATGGAACGAACGTACGAAGGAAGGAAGGAAGGAAGGAAGGAAGGAAGGAAGGAAGGAAGGAAGGAAGGAAGGAGGAAGGAAGGAAGGAAGGAAGGAAGGAAGGGAGGAGAAGGAAGGAAGGAAGGAAGGAAGGAAGGAAGGAAGGAAGGAAGGAAGGAAGGAAGGAAGGGAAGGAAGGGGGACGGAGGAAGGAGGAAGGAAGGAGGGAGGAGGAAGGAAGGAAGGAAGGAAGGAAGGAAGGAAGGAAGGAAGGAAGGAAGGAAGGAAGGAAGGAAGGAGGGGGGAGGAGGAAGGAAGGTAGGAAGGGAGGGAGGGAGGAAGGAAGGAAGGAAGGAAGGAAGGAAGGGAGGAAGGAAGGAAGGAAGGAAGGAAGGAAGGAAGGGTGGGCAGGGAGATAGGAAGGAAGGAAAGAAAAAAGAAACGACGAACGAACGAAGAAAATAAGGAAGGAATGAAAAAACGAATGCTCGAAGGAAGTACGGAAGAATTGAAGGAACGGACGGAGAAAGGAGGAAAGGAAATGAGGAACAAACAGATGAATGAAGAACGGAACAAACGAACGAACGAAAGAACAAACGAAGGCACGAAGTAACGAACGGATGGACGAACGAACGATCGAACGAACGCATGAAGAAAGGGAGGAAAAAACGCACGAAGGAACGAACGGACAAAGAAGGGAACGAACAACCGGACAAAGAAAAGAACGAACGAACGGATGATGGAAGGAAAGAAAGAACGGACGAAGGAAGGAAGGCATGAAACGGCGAAGGAAAGAAGGAGAGAAAGAAAAACAGAATATTAGGAAGGAACGAACGAACAAACGAACGAAAGATAGAAGGTGAATAAGAACAAAGCAAATAGAGAAAATAAAGAAAGATGTATTGAATAAGAGCTTAGGATGTGAAATAAAACGTAAACAATGTCGACCAGGAAGAAAAGACCTAAAAAATATTTATGGCGGATTATTTTTTTCAGTATGCTATCCGCTTTTTTTTTCTTTTGATATTCCGGCTTAATTAGTCTGGCGCAAGGTCAGTATTTGAGGCTCAAATGATGATCGAATTAATAATAGGTAGACGAGGTTCTAAAGGTTTGAGTAATAGCTAGTCTACGAGATAAAGACTGATTTATAAATCGTGAAGACAGCGAAGGCAAAACACTCCACTATATTTTCCAAAAAGTATAACTGATACACATACAATAAAGAAAAACATATTCTGGAGAGAAAAAATGATCGCTTACGTCCTGAAGATTCCAGTTGACTAACAACTCAAAATTATTGATATTTATCTGTGAAGAACTTATGATCAAGTCACTCTAAAAGTACCAATTATTGTTTTATATATATATATTTTATATATATATATATATATATATATATATATATGGGAAAGTTCTCAGTATATATCAGCAGAGGAGACAAATTGAATAAAATAGGCAATAGGGAAAGAGTAGTTAGTCTGTGCCGATGTGTTTCCTCATCCGATTTTATCAAGGAAAGAGATAATAAACAAAAGTGAAATGTTGTATAGTTACTCGAAATTGTTAAAAGACAGATCGTTTAAAGTCTCTTTTTGGATATTAGTTTTTTTTTTTATCTTTTTTTGTTTTTGTTTTTGATTATATGTTTTGTTTTCCATGTCGACAATGTGCGAAAGTTCTCAGAATATATCTGTAGATAAGACAAACTGAATGAAATATACAATAGGAAAATAATACTTAGTCGTTGTCAATATTATCGGCATGGGAAACAAAAACACGCACTTAGACCCCTCCCCCACCAAAAAAAAAGTTGCTAATATCCAAAGAGAGATTTTGCTAGAGCCTCTTTTTTTTTTTTAAAAAAAATTCGATTACGATTAACTATACAACATTTCACTTTTGCCATGTTATAGTCGGATGATGAAACGCGTTGACAAGGACTAAGGACTATTTTCCTACTGTCTATTTTTTACACACACACACACACACATCTGTGTGTGTGTGTGTGTGTGTCTATGTATGTGTTTCTATGAAAACGATTGGCAAGACACTGCGGTTAATCTTATTATTAATATTTTCTAGCATTTGTACAGGTGATTTGTTTTCTGGAAATCGTGATCCTATAAAATTAACGCAATCAAAGAGAATTGTATTATTGTTAAAGCCCTTACTTCATATGTGTGTATTTTCTATTTGAGTTTCAAACATATAAGAATGTGACGGATTCAATCTTTTTAGTTCTTCATTTACCAGAATTACTCGACTGACATGATGAAATTGTAGACAAAATCGGTATAAAATATATTATATATTTTATTGAATATTTATTGAGGTTTCAGAACATTCCTTCCTTTCATCAAGCAAAGAGTTAACTTTTCAGGCTAAATGCAAATTGAACTTAATGATTAAATTAATTGAAAAATTTGATAACCCTTGATAAAAAGAATATGATTCCTGAGACCTGCACCAATCTGCAATAAAAAAATATATTTTATACCCTTTTTATCAACGATTTTATCGCATCAATTGATTAAGTAATTTTGATTTCGAATAGGAATCCAAACCCCAAAATATTTCTTAAAATTATATATCTGCGATATGGTATTGTAACTAATTACACTATTTACAATATTCGGACTAGTGTCATATTCACAACGTTTCGGATGTTGTACACTCCGGCCTTCTTCAGTTGATATACGTTGGCATTTTGAACCTGAAATATCCAGAAAAGGCATGACGAGTGGAACTAGAACAATCTAACCCGGAGGACAAAATAAAAAGATCGAGACGAAATTTCAACCTGAAGAAGTTCGAAGCGTACAACGACCGAAGCGTCATGAATATGACAATATAGATGATGACAATGTAGTCCGAATAATGTAAATAGTGCAAATATTTCTTAAAACGTTTACATATTTGCCCTATCTATCTATCTATCTATCTATCTATCTATGCCTCGTCGTGGTGTAATAGTCAGCTAGGCCACTCTGGTTGACAATTACTACTGAAAAGCGGGTTCGATTCTCATTGAGTGCCTCATAAAATTCCATATTTTTGTTACTCTGGTTAACCATTACTACCGAACAGTGACCTCGATCCTCATTGGGTGATCCGTGATAATTTGACATTGATGGATTGATATGTAAAATTTACCTATCTAACGATCGATCGGAATAAGTACATTCCAATCTAATCATATCCGTCCACACAAATATATTGCATTGTATTAATGTCGGTTCTGTCTTTGTTTCTTTCTTTGTTTCTTTCTGTCTTTCTTTCTTTCTTTCTTTCTTTCTTTCTTTCTATCTATCTATCTATCTATCTATCTATCTATCTCAGTTTCTTCAATATCTATTTATCTATTCCAATCAAATTATTTTTTTTTATCTGTCTTCATATTAACGATACAATTAGATACACGGGAATATGCATTCGTTATTTTAGAAAAACCTATATTTTATTAAAATGTCACGGAAAATTATATATATATATATATATATATATATATATATATATATATATATATATATATATATATTTCTCTGAGGTAAAATTAGGATCTGAATATTTTCAAGAAATATTTCGTGAGGGAAAAGATGGCGGCGTAACTTTGACAAGGAATCAACAGTGGAGCGGGAAACAAAGGGAAAAAAAACTGTGAAATCTCTTCGGGTCAGGAACAAAAAATATCGCTGAAGCCTAACTGAATTGAATGAGTGGATGGTGTCTGCTACTTTGACTTCTTATTTAATGAGGGAAATCTTTTGAAAATTTTCGCAGGCACGTGATATCCCATCTAGGAAGAAAATTAATAAAAATTCAATACACACCAATATTCTTAAAATGTATGCACATTATAATGCAGATGAGTGAACTCTTTCTCATTTTTTTCTCTCTCTCTTATACACACACACACATATATATATATATATATATATATATATATATATATATATATATATATATATATATATATATATATACGACATTTAATTGCGTACCTCTAAAAGATCTCATATATACCGAGAATTGCTAAAACTTCTCGATTCTACACAGTCTCAAAAATCTGAATTTCGACAGCTGATCACATAAATAATTATTTTCGGGAAACACTTTAAGGTCCCAATTAAATTGAATCGTCTGTTATATGTAAGGATTTAAGAAGAAAATAATAGATAAGAATTTAAGATGAGTAGTTCCGGTTATGACAATAAACAACATCCGGTAGTAAGGACTCGGGATATGGAAGGTTTTGAGGAGGATTAAACCGCCTCTTAATTGCCCAGATCCACCCTAATACGAGGTTGTAGCATTTGTTAGGGTCTCAGTTAGTGAACTCCATACAAAAAAAAAAATCTATGAAAGTATAAAAATACATTTTATAGATAAAATACCTGA